TCGGTTTGGGTTGCGACCCATGATCTCTTTGTATCTCCAATTTGCTCTTTGTGGAAGGTAAATGTCTATCCCAAACCTGTTGCTTACACTGTATTTTGAAAATAGTTAACTTTTATCCTAGGTTTCATAGGTCCTAATGGAAACAAAAATCCTCACAACTGGACCAATGAGCAGCATCACAATAAATTGAGAAAAGATTGAGTTTGTCAAAGAATTCAGGTTGCTTGGATCTACAATCGACACCAATGGAAGCAGCAGTCAGGACGTTAGACAACTTGTAGCATTGGGCAGGTTGGCTGCAAAGGAACTATCTCAAGTGCTGAGGAGCAAGGATGTCTCCTTGAGGACTAAGGTGCCCCTGACACAAGCCATGATTATTTCCAATCACCTTGTATGCATGTGAGAGCTGGAAAATGAATAAGGAAGACTGAAGAAGAGTTGATGCTTTTGAGTTGTGGTGCTGGCAGAGAATGCTGAAAATACCATAGACTGCTAAAAGAACTAACAGATCTGTCCTGGAGGAAGTGCACCCGAAATGCTCCTTGGAAGCAAGAATGGCGAGACTTTGTCTCACCTACTTTGGTCATGTTGTCAGAGGGGACCATTCCCTGGAGAAGGAGGTCATGCTAGGTAAGGTGGAGGGTCGACAAAAGAGGGGAAGGCCCTTGACGAGATGGATTGATACAGTGGCTGCGACAATGGGCTCAAGTATAGCAAAGAACGTGGAGCTGGCGCGGGATCAGGCAGTGTTTCCTTCTAATGTGCATGGGGTCGCTATGAGTCGGAAAACGACTCAACAACACCTAACAACAACAACAATGGAAACTAAGTTTGGACGTAAAGTTAAGGCTGAAATGGGTTATTATTAGAGTTGCTGGGATGGAGTAAATGTACTTTGCACATGAGAAGAACTTGAATTTTGGGGGATCAGAAGGCAGGGAGACTTATGGATTGAATTACTTTTCCCAAAAAATTATGTTGAAGTCTTAACCCCTGTAACTTTGAGTGTGATCTTGTTTGAAAATAGATTCCTTGATGATGTTGTCAATGAGATCATACTGGAGTAGACTGGGTCCTAATCCTATATGACTGGTCCTTATAAAAGAGAAGATACAGAGAGAGAGAGAGAAAATATCTGTGTGAAGATGCATCTACAAGCCAAGAAATTGCAAAAATTGTCAGCTGTTATCAAAATCTAAGAGAAAAGCTTGCAATAGGTACTCAGAGAATTTGGAAAGACTCAATATGGGCAATACCTAGATTTTGGACTGCTAGCCTCTAGAGATCTAAGGAGCTAGAGTTTCCTCTTTAGTCTCTCCATTAATATAACTTGAAAAGTTACTCAATCATGAACCACAAAGAAAAATACTCACACAGGCATGACTTACAGTCCTTAATTTAGAACAGCTATTATAAACACCAAGGAGCTCTAGTAGCACAGTGGTTAAAGTGTTCCCCTGCTAATCAAAAGGTCAGTGGTTCAAACCTACCAGGTGCTCCATAGGAGAGAGAACTATCAGTCTGCTTCCATAAAGATTGTGGCTTTTAAAACCTCATGGGGCAGTTATACTCTACACCTGTGAAGTGCAGAAAAACTCAGGGATACTATGAGCAAAAATCAGCTGAATAGTAATGAGTTTGGTTTGTTTTGCACATGAAGGAGCTCTGGTGGAGCAATGGTTAAACATTCAGGTGTAAGCTGAAATAAGGATGAGTACCTCCATGGGACAAAAACCCTAATAACCTGTTCCCTTAAAGATTATAGCCTAAGAAAACCTATGGGCAGTTCTACTCTGTTATATATGGTCACTAAGGCATTTGACTGCTAACCAGAAGGCTGGACGTTCAAACTCACCAGCCACTCCTTGGAAGGAAGACTGGACAATCTACTTCTGTAGAGATACTGCCTTGGAAACCCAAGGAGGGGTCACTATGAGTCAGGAACGTCTCGATGGCAGTGAATTTGGTTTTTATGAGTCAGAATCAACTCAAAGACACACAAAAACAGCATTATGAATACCAGCCTTTCTGTGCAATTCAATGTATCATTGAAGCCAAATACTTTCAGTTCTTCACTGATGTTCCCAAAAGAAATTAGGAGACCATTCACTCCCAGGACCCTGTCCTGTAGAAATTCTCTTCAGAGCCCAAGGCTGGTGTGTCTTAGGTCCAGATATTCTAGCTTTCTCTCCACTTCATATTAAGCTGACCTTTCAGGTAATAAAGGAAACCTGCATGGAAAAATCCTTCACCCCAAAAGATCGGTGGTTTGAATCCACCAGTCGCTCTAGGGAAGAAAGATGGGGTGGTTTGTTTCTGTAAAGATTTGTAGCCTTGGAAACTCAATGGCGGTCGCTATGAGTTGGAATCAAGTAGATGGCAGTGAGGTTTTGTTTTGTTTTTTCACCCTAGTTAACTGCTCCATTAAGGATAAGGTTTAGAAATATGGTTCCTATAGGAACCACTAGGAACTCTGGTAGCATAGTGTCCAAGGCACTTGACTGCTAACCAGAAGGCTGGCAGTTCAAACCCACCAGCCATTCCTCGGAAGGAAGGTGGGGCAACGTACTTCCATAGTGACATTACCTCAGAAACCCAAGGAGGGTTGCTATGAGTCGGGTCTGACTTGAGGGCACATCACAGCAACAACAACAACAATAGGAACCGCTGCTCCCACCATGTTCAGCATTCTTACCAGGACAGTGAGTTGTGGATAAAAGGCAAAAAAGGAAAGTCCAATTATGGCTGGTCACACTTAATTGGGGCTGTTTCTTCGTTCCTTCAAACAAGAGGCCATGCTCAGAGCAAAGCTATGGATGCAGAAACGTTGCATACGTGACAATTTTCAATGACATACAACATTATCTGGACCAGTCGGGACATGGGAAATCTGGACAGTCAGTTTGCCTGGAAGAAAAAGCCTTCTGCATACTATCTTCCAGGCATGGAATCACAGAAATCATTGGCTTTTTACACTCCATTCTTCCCACCCATACCAACACCTGAGGCTAATGAATAGGGGTTGACCAACCTAAAAGAGACATTCTGGGGCCTGATACTAAGTAAACCTCAGGAGGCATGATGTAATCTCTCATGGCCATGTGAGAAGCCAATAAATGCCCTTAACCCTAAGGCTTAGGTGAAGATTCCTGGTTGATGACCATGCCTAGGAGGAACAATCTCCATCCCTCTTGTGGACATGGAAGCACTGTGTTGTGACACTTCCCTGACCTCACTCTATATCTATTTTCCTATGTCTTGTTTGTATCATTTGTGGATGTAATACATATAGTAAGTGTGGTATAGTCTTCATGAATTCTGTGATCATTCTAGTGAATTAATGATCCCACAGGGATGGCCAGAGCCAGCAGGGGCGGTGTCTGCCTATTTGGCAGTCTGAAAGAAGGAGTCCTTCTAATATGTAAACTCTGATCCAGCTCTGGGTTGCTGGTGTAGAAAGTCGGTGCCTGGGACAGAGAAAGAGAGAGAGAGTGCACTTTGAGTGTCTGGCAGCTAGGATGAGAAGTGGAAAAGTGAGCTGCATGCATTTCTACAATCTGGAATTGGATTCATGCTGATTCTTAGCATGCAGGTTGTCATTTTTTTTTTTTTTTACATTTTTATTGTGATTTGGGTGAAAGTTTTCAGAGAAAATTCATTTTCCATACAGCAATTCCCACAATGCTACAGCTCTCTTCCTGCTTCCTCCCTGTAGTTACCTTTTTCCTGTATCCTTCTTTCCTGTGCATTCCTGCCCCGAGAGCTATTTCCCTGTGCAAAGACTGCCCTTATATTCTCCCATGTTTGATTGTTCTAGGGAGTGTATCTACCTGGTGTGAATATTCATCCTATATGCCTGTCAACTGCTTGGCTAGAAGCCGTGGAGTAAGCTCAATTCCAGGCCTGAAGGGTAAATAGGGGCCATAGTCTCCAGGGTCTCACCAGGCTAGCATGCAGATAGTCTTGAAGGTGAAATTTGTCAACACTACCCCTTCTTTGGGAGCTCGGTAGCATAGTGGCTAAGACACTTGCCTGCTAACCAGACGGCTGGCGGTTCAAACCCACCAGCCACTCCTCGGAAGGAAGGTTGGGCAATCCTACTTCCGTAGTGATACTGCTTCGGAAACCCAAGGAGGGGTCGCTATGAGTCGGGTTTGACTCGACGGCACATAACAACAACAACAACACCCCCTTCTTTAATGTACTGACAAATTCCTTGATACTGGGATTTTTGACCTTGAAAATATCAAGAGTTAAGGACAGTATTACATTATTAGGACATCTTGTAACCAATTGATGAGCTGGTACAGGTTGGTCTTGCAAACATCTTCTCTCCAACTTCTCTTCTCTTCTTCTGTCATCTCTTTATCTTCCTAGTGTTTTCACCCATATCCCATTTCCATTTCATCTCAATCTCTAATCTCACACTCAAGTTGTTTGAGACTATCAAGAAGTCGGTAGATGTATAAGATCTTGTCAAGTGTTTGTAATGGTGAAAACAGTGCTTGTTACGTTTACATTTCTAAAAATCAAGTTTTTGTGCCCTCAAATAATGAAGCACTGCAAGGGGAAGGATTGGGATGAGAGATGTTATATAACAAAAAGTAGGCAGTTGATAATCACAAATGCAAGTCAATATGACACCATGTTCATTCTTTTGAAAACTCAAAACAGAACTTATTAGAAGGGAGCATCATTTCTGATTAATAGAAAAGCCCCTAAAATCTCTCTTTCTTCCTTTTCAGACTTCTGGATTTTCTCTAGGTAAATATGGTCACGTTGACTTAGAAAGTGCCTACGTGTAATTCTTGCAATATCCTCACCATATACATTCCTCTAGGAGGGAAGAGGGATATGCTAAGTTCTTATCTTGAGAATCAATACAACCTACAAGAAAACAAGTGGTCATTGAGCCTGCCCCTCCTACTCACTTCTTGGATTATAAAAGCTAGAAAGAGAAACCACAATCAACATCCAACCTGAGCAACCTTTCTAAGAAGATGCTGCTGTCCCTGATCCTGCTGGCCTTGCCTCTGCCCTCCATAGCCTTCATAGGTAAGTGATTGTCCCCATCTCAGAGTTCTGGCTTACTCCAGCAGTGACTTTTTCCACACAGCTCTATCTCTGGGATACATCCTTGACCTAGCTGTTCCCCCAAAATTTTCTGAATTCAATGACTGCATAAACAATGCACAGAAATGACAGAGGAAAAATTGCTGTCAAGGAACTTGTGGGTCATTTCCCTTTCATAGGCTGCACCTGTGTTATATAGAGAGTGATTTATTATTAAGTTGGCTAAAGATTCTAGTGGAGGTAGGAAAGTTAAGTGAATAGTATAAATTCCCTTTGTCTAAACCTGTGAATTGACAGTTCAACATCAGGTGACATCATATGGATCAAAAAGAGAAGTGTTACTTCATACTGCATTTTTTAGACTTCACCTTCACCTTGTCTTTATTCTGCAGACTAACTACCTACACAATCAGAACTTAACTGAGCCTGAGGTCCTAAGGACATGGGGCTTTCACCCAAGTCCTTGAAGCCCATTTTATCATATCTATTTTGATTTTTAGTTCTTCATTTTTATCTCATTTTATTCTGAGAGCTCAATATCATGTGAAACAAATTCTGGACTGGGTTTCAAAGTCCATTAGGCTCTCTCCTCATGCAATGAATTTTTACATTTTTAAAAAACTGTTTTTCATGCCCCAGATAGAGGAGAGACATACCAGCGTATTCTGCTCTATGAGCTCACCATGTTCAGGTGTTAGAATCCAGCTCATGCTGGAAACGATCTGGGACACCAGGACTCTAAGATAATGGGAAGCACAAAGCAAGCCAGAGTAGGTCAGAGAGAGTATTTTGTAGTTCTTCTGGGTTGTGCATCCTGAAGGCAGATAGTCTCTTCGTGTGTCTGAAGCATAATAACCCAAAACATCCTAGTTATCTAAGCCACATATACTACTCATCCTCTGGATTCTGTGAGCACAGAGATCCAGGGAAGATTGTATCTTTCTGCAGTGATCAAAGGGGGCACAGAAGCCAGGCAACACTCTCGGCCCTACATGGCAGCAATAAGGAGTTCGGATAACCAGATTATTTGGAAACACTGTGGAGGTTTTCTGGTGCGAGAAGACTTTGTGCTAACAGCTGCTCACTGTTACGGAAGGTGAGGAGCAGCAACTGGATTTCTTTTCCCTGGGAATTTCCAAGAGCATCTCACTAGTTTAGCTCAGGATGGCCCTTTACCCCACAGGGCAAATGAGCTCATCAGGAACCATATGTTAATCTCCAATGGGGGAAATTGAGTGTCAGTTAGGAGACTGGATGAGTAAGGACCAGGGTGGCAGGTGACCTGCTGAAGGACATTGCCTGAATCACTGCTGAGGAAACAAGATCAATACCTCATTTGACTGAGGTATTGGAGGGAAGAAGTGAGACATGACTATGGCCCATCTTCCCTCTCCCAATTTGACTTGGCTGCAGTCCTGCCTTTGGCTTGAATATCAATGTCCTCATCTGACACTGAGTTGAATTTCCTATGCCTAACTATATCTAGCTTATCATTGCAGAAATATGATTGTCACCCTTGGAGCTCACAACATAAAGACAAATGAGCCTACTCAGCAGGTCATCCCTGTGCTTCAAGCCATCCCTCATCCAGAATATAATGATGATACATATGTCAACGACATCATGCTACTGAAGGTACCATCTTGCCCATTTGCATGCACACTCAGAGTAATGGAAAATCTCAGCTCATTCAGAGTCTCTGATCCTTCCTCTCCTTCAGTCTTGATGTGCTGCTGGTCCTAGTACAATAAAAGGGGACTTGGGAGATTCTCCAGGCAGGGGAGAAAATGGGCAAGTTCCTCCATGCTCTGGGCCCCCTTGACAAGACATGATCTGAACTGTCATATCTCCCTTTCTCTGGCCAGCTGAATCACACGGCACAACTGAACACAGCTGTGCAGATCATTGCCCTACCGCAGAGCCAGGATTTTATAAGGCCGGACAAGGTGTGCAGTGTGGCAGGCTGGGGAGTAACTGATAATGGCTGGGTCTCAGCGACACTCCGGGAAGTCGACTTGGAAGTGCAGAACAAGGAGCAATGCGAGCAAACCTTCTATTATTTCCATGACTCCATCCAACTCTGTGTGGGGAACCCTCTGTACCCTAAGGAAGCAGGAAAGGTATGAGCAAACATCTTCTGTCTTACCCCAGGAACAAAGGGATTCTGCAACCCCACAGTCAGCTCTTCACTGACCCATGAAACTCTAATAGGGCAAGGTCAACCATGAGTAGAGGTATCCTGTTCTCAACCTGTGAGATGCAGGCATCTTGCAAAGCTCATGTCCTGCCCTTTCTTCATGGAAGAATGAGAAGATAGTCTGGGATTGGGTTGAGCTGGACAAATATTCAGCCAGGGCAAAGACCCATGGTGCTGGGGGATCCAGAAACAAAGACTAAGCAGACTAAGCTCACTCCTCCCTTACTAAAAACCAAAGTCAATGGTGACCCCACAATCCTCCTCTGAATACCCAGTCCCTACACAAAAGGAAATGGGAATTGGGGAGAAAAAAGATAGAAGAGGGAAAGCCAGAGGGATCTAGTCTGATACTCTTCCCTTTTCTGTCCACAGGGTGACTCCGGCGGACCATTGGTGTGTGACAATGTGGCCCAGGGAATTGTCAGCCTTGGAGTCTACACTAGCTCTATTGGAGTCTACACTAGAATCTCTAGCTTTGTGCCCTGGATCCACAGAATAATGAATGCATTGTGACATACCTAAACACCTGGCCCTGGGATCTGTGGCACAGTCCAGATACCTATGTGGAGGGAGGATGTCACATTCTTAATAAAGATTATCTCCCAGTTTAGATGAGCTGCTTGCTGTTGCTTCTTTGAACATATCCACTGGTTCCCTATTATGCCCCAGATGGACTCTAATTGCACCTCCTTCATCTTCTTTGCTTCTCCCTCCTGCTCTTCCATTCCCAAACTCCCCACACAAACCAATAACTTACATTTGTGTACTGTTTCATCCTATTAGCATCTCTAATGTCAGATCCCTCTGTCTGATCCTATCAGATAGAAGACTGACTTCCTCACAGGAGCAATGGAACTTGTTGCATAAGGCTCTCAAAGATGACCTTTCCCTTTCCTTAACCTGTCCCAAGCCCAACAGCACAGAGGAGGGGGAGAAAAGCAACTGAGCTTCCAACCTACATGATAGAGGCCTAGCATAGTCCCTACCACAACCACATTCCTTGTGAAGCTCCATCCTTCTCTCCCTCTGTTCATAGCTCAAGGGGTCTGTCCTCAGTGCTACTGCTCCAGCTGGTCCCTGCCTACTGACCTCTCATTCTGTCAGAGAAGGAGCTAAGTGAAGCTAGGTTATACCCATTAGGTCATGGGGAAACCTGACAGACCGGCTAAGTCCTCACACCTGTAGACATACCTCTTACCTGTGTGGAAAAGTCCTGGCCTAGCCTTCTTCATCCAGCCCAACACACCCTACACCCCTTCATGAGTTCAGATCCTCTGCTCACTTAGTGCCCTCAACTCACAGCCTGTCCCACTTGGTTCTACCAGGATAAGTGGTAGCTTAATTATGTCCCATGTCTACCACTGGCCACCTGGTCATTAGAGGATATATGCTTGAGATGATGTCTATCTACAGTAGGATTGGAATTTATTCTTCCTATCCTTAAATAAACATTAACCTACCACCTAAGTGATCGACTTTGTCATACAGCAGTGCAAACAGAAACAAGGTCTTTCCCTAGGAACTATAAACCTGCTCTTTTTGTTTTAGTCCCATGATCTTTCAAAGATCCTGATCCCCTCCTGACTGTCAGAAAGGTTTACACTCTGTAGCTTTGCTGGACTCAGAATCCCAACTGACTTCCTCTCTCAGGCAGACCTTGTGACACATAGAGGCAAACCTTTAGTGCTGCTCCTTCTTGCATGACATGGAGGGTGCAGGGTGGCAATTCTGTGTCTGCTACAGAAAGCTTCCTGCTGATGGCAGCTCTGTGCTTGGGAGTGAGAAGCAGTGGCTCACATCTTTCTGGGGACTCCCACAGGACCATATCTTTTCTAAATGCCTGAAGCTCTAGGACTTTCTGTGCCCCCAGTCACCCAGGGTCCAGGGAAGCTAATGGAGGAGCCATCCCAGAGCAAGAATGAGTGGGATTGACAGGTGGACATGGGATAGGAGTGTGGATGTCTGTTCTCTCCTCAGAGGACAATAGGACAGCACTGACCTTGAGATCAGTAGGAAGTCATTGAACAAATGGGACCAGAATGCAAACAGCCTTGGGACACCCTTGTCTCCATGGACACTGCAGTTCTGATCTACTCCAGCTGCTCCTATTAACAGAGATGTCAAGAAATAGAACATGCTGAACGTCTAGGTACCTCTATCATCCAATCTTACCCCATTCTACCTTTTGTACTTGTTCACTCTGTTCTCCCTAGAATGATGTACTCTGCACTCTTCACTTTGAGGCAATATTCTAGAAAAACTCATAAATAAGAAAGAATAGGTTTATAGTTTCTGCAGGAAGACCTCATTTATAGTTTCACTGCTTTTTCACAAGGCCTGTCACTCAGGTGGCATAGTGTCTAAGGTATTTCACTGCTAACCAGAAGGCTGGCAGTTCAAACCCACCAGCCACTCCTTGGAAGGAAGATTGGGCAATCTATTTCCATAGAGATACTGCCTCAGAAACCCAAGGAGGAGTCACTATGAGTCGGATCTGGCTTGACAGCAGTGAGTTTGTTCTTTTTAATGTTGTTATTTAACTTATTTACATATATGTCATTATTTAGGCAAATCAGTAACATGACTACTTAATAGTGATAATAAGTAGTAAATAATATTTGCACAAAATAGATAGTATATGTGAGAAGAGGGTAGCAATATTTAATAATACTTCTTTTTACCTGCTGATACAGCAATTCTTTTTCATTATTTTAAAATTGTTTATTAGATAATTAAAATTTGTAGTATTTTTATGCTGTCTTAATTCAAAAAACATTGCATATTGTTACCACACACATATGAGATTTTAGAAATAATAATATAAATATAATAGGCAGATATTACTTATATTTAATCAAAAATAATAATTTCTTGGTCTTTTTTACCTTTATAATATAGTAAAATATTTTAATCTTTCTGTGTCCTGTCTAATAATAATTTGCTGAAATGCCTGCCTCATAGATTACTCTTCTCTTTTAGACTGGCAAAACATAGTCCCCGTCACAGTACTCACTTTCACTTGTAGCTCTGCTCTTAGCAAGCCCACATTATACTGACTTTTGGTGTCTACAGCCAAATGTGTTCTCAACAAAAGCATTTGAGCATGCAGCACTTAAGGATTTTAGCAACAGCATATTTTTTTTAATTTACAAGAATTAAGTCTCTGCTCTCCACATATGCCCATTTACTTAGTGTCTACAAGACTAGTTTGATAGGTCAGCTTGTTACGTTGATCAGGTGAAATGTTTTTGAACATTCTGAAGAGCTTTGGATGTCATTAGAAGTTAAATCTCTCTTTCTCGTGGAAAATGTCTGTAAAACAAGGGACAGTTTGAACTTTAGTTTTGAAAAATTACCCCTGCAAAGAAATAAGCCCTGTCTAGCTTGGCTGCTCTTTCCTGGTGATATGTTCGAGTTCTGAAGCAGTCTTACTTTCAGTATATGAGTCATTTTTTTTCCCCCTTTGTATGACTACTTTCCCAGCCACTCCTCAGAAGGAAGGTTGGGCAATCCTACTTCCGTAGTGATACTGCCTCGGAAACCCAAGTAGGGGTTGCTATGAGTCGGGGCCGACTCGACAGCCAACAACAACAACAACATGATTACTTTCCAACCTATCAAAACATTGAACAACTGAGGTACAGTCAGGTCTTCCTTTTCTACATACTTGTCACCCTCTTACACATCACCAGTTTGGAGAAACAATATACAGATTTCTTTTTCATGGTAACCTTGTTCTCATCTTCAATGTGTTCATAAATCACAAAAGGATATTCTCTAATGCCACACTTTGAATATATGACTTTATGGTAGCCTAACATGTTAACATATTTACTATGGCCAGCAACAATGACAGCCATCTTATAGGGTTATGTCTATTCCTCCCATTTCTGTAAACCAAAAATACCAGTATGTGTTTTGCACATTATGAACAAACTGAAAAATGGCCTATAGCTTCCATTACAAGAGCTTTGATAGCAAATCACACTCACTTTTAGCAATGTTGTACACAAGATGTGCAGACATTGATCAAGTAAATCTTTAGATTTTTTTCATCCCCCATCCCCTGCTTTGGTAATAAATTTATAAACTGTGTAGAATTTACCAAAGTTTGCATTTGCATAATGCCAAATATGCAATAGATGACTGGAAAAGACTGGGCAATCTACTTCTGTTAGAGATAACGCCTCAGAAACCCAAGGTGGGGCTGCTATGGGTTGGAACTGAAGTGACGGCAATGAGTTAGGTTTTTGGTTTTTGGACATTTCCATTGGGCCTACTGAATTGGGAAATGTAACTTTACTCATTTTTACAGAGTGATCCAAGGAACATTTGAAAATGCCTGTGTGTTTCTACAATGTGCCCAAGTGAATTCAGAGGCTTCTTCTTTCACTTTACCATTGTTGTGTTTATGTGTCCTTGAGGATTTCATCTTAAGAATAAATAAAGCCAGAAGAACTAGATGGTGCCCCGATATACTGTCAACCACTTGGAGGGGAATCGGTAAGGGGGATCAGTAAAGGAGATCATGGATAGAATAGGAGATCAATGCAGAACAAAACTAAAAATCATAAAAAAAAAAAAAAAAAAGTTTTGCTGGTCTGATAGAGCCTGGTGAGATCCCTGAGACTGTGGCCCTTAGTTACCTTCAGGTCTGGAACTCAGTAGTGACCTCACTCCTGTGGCTTCCAGCCAAACAATAGACAGGCATGTGGGGTGAACATTTATATCAGGTAGATACACTCATTGTAGCAATCAATTGTGGGAGAGCAGAAGGTCACTGTTTGCACAGGGAGATGCTGGGGGATGATGGCAGGAGTGAATGGCAGGGAAGGACACAGGGAAGAGGTAACTCCAAGGAAGAAATGGGAGGAGAACTGTTACACTGTGGGAAATTGCAGTCAATGCCACGAAACAAAATGTGTATGAACTGCTGTATGGAAAATGCATTTGCTGTGTAAATTTTCACCCAAATCACAATAAAAAATTTTAAAAAAGAAAAGGAATAAATAAAGAAATACTCTGGTTTGTCATACATAAACGTATTTAGCATGACTGCAAGGTAGTTATTGCAAGGCACATAAGTAAGGCCTCGAGATATTCATTTAGCACTGGGCACTCAGAATTAACAATTACAATGTTAGTTTAATTATTTGAGTACAAATCTTTTGACTTTAGGTTTGAGCTTTAGTGAGTAGTCTTGGTGAGAAAGATTTAAGCACCACACAAATTAGACGAGGTGCCCCATAGCTAAGATCCAAGGTTGGTTGTTGTAGGCAGTATTTCAGCAGGTGCTGAGCCTTCAGAGAGAATGATAGGCAATGAGATCATTTGCTGCTGTCTTCTTCATGAAATGAGCAGAAATCAAGAATTGCATGAAACAGTTTTCTTTTTCTTTTTCTACTTTTTATTGTGATTTGGGTGAAAATTTACAGAGTAAATTCACTTTCCATACAGCAGCTCACATACATGTGGTCTGATGACATTGACTGCAATTTCCCACAATGCAGCAG